GGGGTAATCAGGATGGGTGTGTCAGAGGCAATGCGATTGGCACAGGATAGAGCAGGGTTTAGGGCTGTTGTACATAGGGTCGCTATGAGTCACAAACCACTCGACGGCACATAACAACAACATATATTTAAATACGTACAGAACATTTCATTGAGTAACCAAATCCTATTTGTTCTACATTCTAATAGTTTTTTAATCCACCTAACTCATTGCTATTGCCCCTGCTTGATGCTTCCATTTTTCACCTTTGTTTTACTGCCATGGTCTTCTAGTTCCCAGCCTACCTTGAATCCATTCTCTACCACGAAAGTGAGCTTTTGATGAACAAATCTGACTTTACCTGAATTTTTATACAAATCTTTTGTCTTTCTATTAAGTAATTGCTTGTTTGAGGATTTTGATACTCATGCTTTTCAAGAGTTAAACTTCATTATGTTGCAGTTTATTTTTCAGAGAAGTTTTAAAAGATTAAAAATATTCTCTTATTTCCCCTCCCTTTTACCTATAAAAGCAATGTCATTATTTGTCCCTTTTTAAAGAATAAATTATCTTATTTATATTTTCTTGAATGTGAAATCATTATATTAAAAAGTATATTTTCTTTTTCTTTTTAATTAATTACAGTTCCTTTCATCATAATTATTTAAGTTTTTGCTTCTTAAAAAGTATTATCCAGCATTACCAAAAGCCAATTTTGTTGACTCATAGAAAACTTATGACAGAGTTGAGCCGTCCTTTAGTGTCCAAGGCTGTAAATCTGAAGGTGTCAGATTGGTTCATCCTTCTCCCATGGAGCACAAGCAGGCTCAAACTGCCAACTATTTAGTTCCAAGCCTAGGGATTAACACAATATGCCACCAAGGCTCCATTATCTATCAATAATTGGCATAGTACAAAGGTAGTTGCCCTGCTAATCCAAAGGCTGACCCTTGCTGGTGGCTCAAATTCCCTACCAGCTCCATGTGAGAAAAATGGCCAGTTTCCTCCCGTGTGACCCACGGAGGGGTCAACTATGAGTCAGATCCAAAAGACAGTGAGCATGAGAATGCACATTAGCTCTTTAGTGCAGACACCTCATGGGGAAGTTTGAAGTTAATAGATACTTGCCTACCTTTCCTGTCACTAGCCTTAAAAGAAATCAGTGATGAAAGAGAGAAGTCTTTCTGATCATAATGATTACTGTTGCTGTTGAGTTCAGTTCAATTTATATGACCCTATAGGACAGAGTAGAATTACCTCTTAGGGCTTTCTCAGCTGAAGTTACTTGTAAATGAATTGATATTTAGGTATCCCTGGTTAACGTAACATTTGCCTCCATTGAAAGAATTAATAATAAGTTAAGGAGGGAGAAAGAATTAAATGTTTGGTTCAGCTTCCCTTCTCTGATTAATAATATCACATTATAGATTATTAAGGCTTGTAATAAGGGTATGAAGTAAAGCAGTATTTTTCATTTTCTTAAATTTCTTTTTTCCCCTTTCCTTTTTTCAAGATTGACATCTGGTCCTGAGAACACACTCTTCCACTATGTTGCCTTAGAAACAGTGCAAGGAATCTTTATTACTCCTACCCATGAAGAGGTGGCACAGCTAAGCAGCTCTGTCCATTCTCAGCTAATAAGGAATTTCCATCAGTGTTGCCTTTCAATTCGTGCGATTTTCCAGCAGACTTTGGTGGAAGAGGTAGGGTACTGTTACGAATATAATTTTCTGACAATTTCATTTTCAGATCTCTAATTCTAATCAATATGTTCCTTCAATGACTACTTTTGCTTAATTAAGCATTTTTAACAGTATCCAATGTCCCTAGAGAAGGATACAATCCTTTAAAAAGTTGTTGTTTGTTGTTATGTGCCACAGTAGAAGGTAAAAAAAAAAAAGTAGGTCAGTAAAAAGGGATGAAGACATTCAATGAGAGATTAACAAAGTGACTACAACAGTAGGATTAAGCATAGCAGATATTGTAGGGATGATATGAGTTTGGTCAGGGTTTTGTTCTGTTATACATAATATCATTATGGTCAACTTGCTAGCACCTAACAAGGACAATATGATTTGTTCAACGCTAAAATTCTCTCTTACAAGATATTTTCTTTGTGTTACCAGAAATTGGTATCAAGCATAATATATTCCCATGTGCTCTGAGTTCCTACACTTATCTTTCCCTATTTGACCTAACAGAAAACTTCTATATGAGGACATTTTATTAATTTATAAACGGACAAAGTCCTAGCCCTCATAAAATCTGTATGCTAATGGGAGAGAAAAATGAACTAGCAACTAGTACAGTATTAAAAGGGAGCTTTGGTGGCTTAGTAATAAGGAATGGCCCCACCAACCTATCAAAGAATTGTATGTACATGATTCAAATCCTCTAACTGGGAGAAAGATGGGTATTCTCTCATGCAGCTTACTGCCTTTGAAAGCCCACTAGAGGGTCACCAATGAGTCAGTTCCGACACAACAGTACACAATAACAATATATGAATAGTAAAATAGAGTAAGGATGACAGCTGGAGGTCTATTTTTAAAGATCCCTCTAAACAAAATTAGAAAACCTGGCTTACAACATAAATAGGCTTGTGAACATAGCCAAATTTACATGACCAGGAGAAGATAAGATCAATGCATGACACCTCCTTAAAATCAATCCCTGTGTGCATCAAAAACTTTCTACATTAGAGTAAAAAGAAAGCTTATAGATCATGAACAAACATTTGACAATGGCATTTCAGATAAGGGTCCCATAACCAAAATGTACAGAATACTCCTGGGCCTCCACAGGAGAAAGACTGATAACCCAATCACAAAATGGGAAAAAGACATGAAAAGACTCTTTACAAAGGAAGACACTTAGATGGCTAGGAAACACATGGGGAAATACTCAAAATCACTGGCAATCAAAGGGATGCAAATAAAAAACAATGAGGTAGCACCTCACTCCAGCAACAGTAGCAAAGTTCAACAAAAAGCAAACAGTTTTGAAGAGAATGTGGAGAGACTGGAACTCTTACTTACTACTGGTAGGATTTTAAAATTATATAACTGCTATGGAAGGCGGTTTGGCATTTCCTCAAAAAGCTGAACATAAAATCCTATATCCCCCAGTTGTTCACTGTTTAGGGTATTTGTACCCCTATGTTCATAGAAGTGTTATGCACAATAGCAAGAAAATGGAAGCAGCCCAAATGCCCATCAACAAATGAGTGGATTGAGAAATTGTGCTACAGTCAAACAATGGAATACTATGCAGCACTAAGGAACAGCTATTTCCTAAAATACTGTATAACTTGGGAAAGACTAGAGAGCATTATGCCTAGTGAAATATCTCAGCCACGTAAGGACAAATATTACATAAGGCCACTCTTGTGAAAATAGGAGAAAAATTGAGTAAGATAAGTAAAATGTTAAAAAAGGAAAGGAGAGAAGTAGGGCAGAAAAAGAGGAAATGGGAGAAAAAAAATCACTAGGATAGCAGAGGTTAGTGGGTAGATGGGGAGTGAAGTCATTGAAAGGGTTCAGTAGGGGCTTGAAAGGATAAGGTAATAATAGGCATAGACAAATGGTAATTAGTTATATAAAATATAGTGTATATTAATTATTGTATAAAACACAATGTGTATGAATTCTTATATGCAAACCGATAAAAAATTTTTTTATAAAAAGATCCTTCTGATCATGTCAGACTTGCATGAAGAGAGGCTATCTGGAGTCAGGCTTGCTGTGTAGAAGATATACCTCCAGATTGTGGCAATGGCAAGTTCAAAGCCCCAGAAAGAGGAGTCTATAAGAGTGTCCAAGTGGATTTAAAGCCTCTGAAAACTTGCTAGAGGACCAGTTGTGAATTCCAGCTTTACAGCAGTGAGGTTTTGTTTAAGTGTGATGCGTGGCAGTTAAATGGCAAAATTCTTACTTGCCATGAGGAATATCCAGGTTCTGTTCCCAGTCAGTGTACCTCACCCACAGCCACCATCTGTTAGTGGAGCCTTGTACGTTACTATGATGCCAAACAGGTTTTAATGGAGCTTCTAGACTAAGACAGACTAGGAAGAAGGCCTAGAGATCTACATCTAAAATCACCCCATGAAAACCCTGGGTCACAGTTCAATGTTGTAAAAGGAGCAAGAACAGCATAGGGAAAACTGAGTCTGACTCCCACTAACTCCACAAAGGGGAACTCTCCCCATCAATAACATTCAGAGAATATAGATATTGATCCCAATAAGGTCAGGTATGGCCCTCCCCTCTGCTGCACCTACTTCTACAATTGCTGGGTCTGAAATGAGTTGCACAGACTTTATAGATTATCTTTTTACTCACAGTCATGGGGTTTGTTACAGAAACAGTTTGGGGAAGACAAAATATATCACTCAGTGTTCAGTAAACAGTAGTCCCAAGCCAAGTTAACAAAAAGATGCAATCCCTCAATTAGTTCAGACAGCTTCTCCGTCAACAAATGCAAATGCTCAGTTAATCCAGGTAGCTGCTCAGTCAACGGCAAGATATCTCTGATTCAGGAACCTCTGACCCCGAAGGACGTGCATGGTGTTGAGGTTCCCAAATTCTGCAACTAATCTGCTCAGTTTAGTAGCAAGACTAGCCATTCCTCTTGTCAATAAACTAACATACCTTATGAGGAAGAAATGGATTACACAGCTGTTGATGATGTTGGTGGGCCACCTACCCACAAGGCAGCTAGATCAAACTAAAAACAATGATCGAGGGAAGCCACATTTTTTTTAAAGACCTACTACATTGTAACAGGCAATTTATCGTCAAGGTGCCTCAAAACTAGTCAGCTTTACATTCAGCTATGCATGAGGTTGCTTTGAGTCAGGAGCTGCTTGGATGGCAGGTAACAACAATATGCCTTTGGCACTGCTCTTTTAAAAAAAAAAAAGCATAGATGAGTAGCATGTCTTTACCCTGGAAAAAGCTTGTTGTTAACTGAGGAAGTAAACCTATAAACCACTATTATAAGTAATGTAAATACTAGTGCAGGGCTATGAACAAGGGAGCTTTGGTGACTTAGTAGTAAAGCATTGTGCTGCCAACATGAAGGTAGGAGGTTTGAATCTACCAGCTCCTCCACTGGAGAAAGATAGGCAATCTCCTTTGATTAACAGCTTTTGAAAACCCAATGAGAGATCAGCTCTGTGTCAGTTCTGACTTGATGGTAACAAAAACAATTTAGGGCTGTGAACAGTTCCCTAGGAGAGCCAAGGGGCATTTTATCAATGAAGTCTGTTCTATAAGTTGACATTTAAACTAAGTAAAGAAAGACACATTTTTCCTGTAGGTACAACACTTTCATCTTACTTATACACACAGTCAACACCCTTGATGGTAGCATTCAAAAAAATCAAAAGATATGTGGTATTTGAAAAATCTGCTGTCAAGAACCTCTTCGAAGTGCTAAAGAGCAACAACGTCAGTTTAAATACTAAGGAGTCCTGAGGATTTAATGAGATGAGCAAGCACAGAGAACAAAATAAAATGTTGTATTCAGTATTACTATTGTTCCAAAAGGACTCCAGAAATCAAGTACTTATCACCATACCTATTGAGATGGTGTAGGCAGAATGGCATTTCTAGCTCATTAGATTTGATTTCCACCACATGGCCGGGTAGGACTATGCAAGACAAGTGGGTAAATTACTTAAAATGGGATTGGTCCACTGGGTTTAAATTGAGCATGTTTAGCAGCAAAAAACGAGACCATCACTCACAGCATGGAAGAAGCAACAGAGAGCGCACTGTGTCCTCCTTTGGAGCAAGAGATTCTTGTGCAGCTCAGGCCAAGATGAGAGCAACTGTTGCAACAACAACAGTGGAGAACCAGTGGAGATGGAAGGGACCTGGACTGCTGCTCCACAGAGCCAGAGTCAAGGACCTTCTAGAGGTGTCGGAGGACTAAGGTGTCCAGGCAACACCAGCTTTAGTCTCAGCCTTGCCTCTGCCTTTTTCAGTTTTGCTGATGCATCCGTGTGATTGTGCTGGTGCTGGAACACTCATGGGTGTGGGGGCGGTTAAGTGGTAGAAAGAACATAATTGTCAGGATTAAGAGAGCTTTGTAACCCATAAAACTCTAAAGCCATGAAGCTGAAGGTTAAAGGACCTGTGAGCATATTTGATAGACTAGTTTGACAGAAGAATTTCATTCTGTTTCCAACCTAAATTTTAACTTGTAAACCACTCAAACTCCACAGTTGCAAAAAAACAAGTAAGGTGCTCCCTACCCAAGCCATGGTCTTTTCAGTCATTTGCTATGTATCTCGAAGTTGGGCAATGAATAAGGATGACAAAAGAGTTTGTCTTTGAATTGTGGTGTTGGAGAACAGTATTGAATATCCCATGGACTTCCAGAACAAACAAGTAGTGTCTTGGAGAAAAGGAATCCAGGTTGTTCCTGTGAAGCACTGATAGTGAAACTTCTTCTCACATACTTTGGGCATGTTGTTAGGAGTAAGCTAGTGCTTGGGAAAAGACATCATGCTTGGAAAGGTGGTTCTATGATTAGTGAGAGAGAAGATGACTTTCAACAAGATGGATTGACACAATGGCCAATAATAATAAGCTCACTTTTATCAGAGATAAGAATGGTTGGTACACAATAGGGCAATATTCTCATCATTTGTTCAAAGGGTCACAATGAGTCATAGACTACAGGACAGCATCTAACAACAATAAGAAAATTGTCACTGCAAATGTATAAGTGATTTTTTGTTGTTAGATGCTATGGAGTCAGAACCACCTCATAACTGACCCTCCAGCAGGTTTTCCAAGGGTAGGAGATTGCCCATCTTTCTCCTGCAGAGCACCTGGTGGATTCAGACCACCTATGTTTGGGTTGATAATGCAACTTCTTACCACCTAGGCCAACAAAGCTCTGTACAGAGGCAGCCAGTTTAAATTTATAAGTGAAAATATTTTAAATACTACTATTAATATATCTTAGTTTGAAAGCAGAAATGGCATCCACTTCCTTAATAACATGCCTCCAGAAACTCTATGAACTTTGATAAACATCAATAATTATAGAGGGGCTTCAGGCTTTTTGTTCATAGGATTGCTATGAGTTGTGCTCAACTCAAAAGCAATCAACAACAACAACAGTACTAATGACACCAATTGATTTACAGAAAAAGAAAACACTCAATGGTGGAGAACATTCAGATTCTGCAAATTCAGTGTCTTGTCTTAACCCCGTGAAAGAACATGGTGTGTTGTTTGAATGCTCACCTGAAAACTGGACTGACCAGAAAAAATCACCACCTGTTATGACTTACTGGGTAGTAGGGTAAGTGGGGAAAAATTCTTTTTAAAAGTAAAGTAAAATATTAAAGTGAAGGAAGCATGTTTTAAAATATCTCATGGAATTATTAGGCTAACTGTATTTTAGGAAACTCTGGTGGCATAGTCCATAGGGAGTTTTACTGCTAACTCAGAGGCCAAGCCTCTCTGACAGAGTTTGCTAGTTGTCTGGGGGAAAGATGGCCTATCTCCTCCCATAAAGTTTACAGCCTTGGAGACCCAATCCAGGGTCAGCTATGGATCAGTTTCAACTCAGCAACAATGAGATGCTGGTTTTTCAAAAGAAATAATTTTTTTTATTTGCTAAGTGTCTCCTTTGAATCCCTCTCTATTTACATTACAAAATTATATTGGTAACCATTTTAAAAGCCTTAGAGTTTCACTCTTTCCTTCCATCCTTCCTTCCCTACTCTTCTTTCTCCATTTCATTTCCTTTCTTTCCTATCTCTGTCCATTTCTTTCCAGACTCCAAGGCCCTGTCTGATCTTGCTGACATCTCTGTCACATTTCCTGTGACTCTCCCCCATTCACTATATTCTACCTACATTGGCAATAATGGAATTGTTGCTGCTTTGTTCTATATGGGATGTGCATGTCTGGCTCCATGACATTGAGACCATGGGATCTGTGATCTTTTTCTGCCATTAACATGACAGTCTAGTTACTCTTAATTATATCACATATTTATATTTTCTTATTGTCTTTACACTATCACTAGCTTCATGAGGTTAAGAATTTTATCTGTCACACAACAGCACCTGAAACTTAATGGTCACTTGGTAACAATATAACTGTTTAGAGAATGGAGCTATACCAGGCAAAATTTGATGGTGGGTAATAAAGTGGTGTGGTAAAGACAAAGATAAGCTAATCAGTTGGTGGGGGGAGAAAAAAAAGGTGATCAATGCCTCCAAAGATCCTAAATCCAGCAGAAGGAATATGACATATTTGCAACTCTACATTTACATATTCATATTACTATATATATATATCCATTATATATG